GCACGATGACCTGCTACGATAACAAGCCGGAATTTTCACAGTTGCACCCTTAATTAAAACAATGCCCTGAGCATGATGAATCATCTTCGGAAGACAATGAGTGATGGCCTGTTTTGTAAACAATTCTCTGTCTGGGACCAGGGTGCACAGAAAATATAACAGGGCGCTGACAATTTAAACAGGGTGCGCCGCCCTGCTAAAACCCCTCATGGAGAACCCTGACTGTTATGATTCTGGAAAAGAAATCGTGAAAAATAAATGTAAATCAGCGGTGAACGCACTGCCCTGAAAGCAGAAAGCGAAATACTTATTTTGCTGTCACAGCTATTTTGCGTTCACCCCTTTTTTACGCAATTAATAATTATATTCACAGCAATTCCAGGCATTGATTTGGCGCCGAAGTAGTGCTAGATGTTGATAATTTACTACAATAGGTTACACACTTTGTGTTCACATTTACAGAAGTTGTTACAAATAATGCAGACAGCATGTCTGCAATTTGAAGCTCATCGGAAGAAGCTCCGCCCATACAAGTGGCGGTACATTAGTTTTGAATTTCTCTTCCAATAAATGACGAGGCTCTCAACTTAGTTTCTTACTTCAATTTGCGTCACATGTTATTTCAGTGAGAAGGCTGCATAAAGTGGTGCAGCTGAGTAGTTTTGTTGAATTTCCTGTCCGTAAATGCTCGGTCTCAACATTTTATAATATTCGACACAGTCTATAACGTTGTCAGTTTTTTAGTCGTGGATTGGTCGCTCTTACGCTTTCCTGGCAGGATACTCTCGTTGGTAACAAACTCTTTGGCGATATTAAAAGTTGTCTGCTTTGAAACACCACTTCGACTCAATCTCAGCAAATGACAGTCCACGAAAATACAAATTGACAACTCTCGTTCTCACTTCAACTGTTTTTTCGACTCCTTGTTTCTCCCTTGTGGTGTTTAAACAACTTGGACAAATGCCGATTTGTAGACACGCAATAAACACGGTGACTCACTGTGACTGACCAAAAGAGACTAAAAGACAGACGTGCCGCAAAGTCTGGGGGCATCAAACTTGGTAGCAAAAATAGAAAACATTGTAGGCAATATCTGTCAATCATTCCTCTGATTTGCAGTCGATGTTCATATTTCTAGTTGCAACTTGTGTAAATGTGGGGTGGGGGGGGGTGGGCGGGCATTTGCCCCAGCATGGGCTCTTACACGGATAAGTATGGTAGTAGTTTCTGATACATTCTGTGTCTTTAAAGTTGTTGCCATGTTCATCATATTTTTAGCTCCGCTGTCAACTTTGTCGAGCGGAGCTTATCATATGAGTGATTGTCCGTCATTGTTCGTGTCAATGTTTTACTTTTTCGACTTCTTCTTGAAAACT